CACCTTTTTTTTCCCTAATTCATCACACTCAGTCTGATTCTAGTACTGTTTTGTTCCTTGAAAGGGATTAAAAAAAAAAAAGAAGAAAAGAAATAAAGTTTTATTGTCCCAATTGTGATCAGAAACTCCTGAATACAAGAAAGTTAAACATCAAGATATTTTTTGTGAAGACATGAATGGCATTATGTATTTCTAAAAGATGTCTAATATGAAGCCTGTGCTTTAAGTATCCTCCAAAAATAAAACGGTTGATTCATGAAGGATCTCTTGATAGGCTGTAGCTTGTCTCATTATGGAGAAATAAGAAGTGATTCCCTTGCTACCTTACAACTATCTACTTGGATAACTATCTTCTCAATGCTAGTCATGATTTTATCAACATCCAGCATTTTCCCTCTCAATTTTCCCTTCAGCTCTTTCGAACGTTGAAGTGTCCTAGTGTATTTAACTCTTAGAAGCATATATTCCATATATAAGTATATATATTTGCAATCGTGCTGACCTCCAGTTGTCTCTTGTTCATTTTATCTATTCCTTCTGTACCAGAGAAGCTGATACACATTCCCTTTCCCTTCCTGGGAATTCAACTTCCAATGGAGGAGTGATTCACACAATGCAATTTTTTTAACCACTGATGATCTGGTTAAAGGCCATCTTTAGTTTATTTGCCTGTGAAGACAAATGAACAGATTTTGTCCCACTGCCAAGAGAGGTGAGGCTCCAGAGAGAATTTCAATTCTGGTAATTTTGACTTTAATGAAAACAATCCTCTCAGCTTCAAGAAGATTTTGCACTGGCATAGGAACCTTGTATTTTGTCACCTGAACTGTATTCTCTCTTAGCAGATGTAGTGGCATCTAAGACAACTTCTTGGGGCTGGCAGATATAATATAGGAGCTATAGGAGCCCTTGACCCTCCTGAACTTGCAGCTAGGGAGAGGAAATATCCTCTAGGGCATCTCAAAAAACCCTGGACACTCATGCTTAGGCAACTGATTGCTCCCTACATCTTACCTATGCTGTAGATATGTAGTGAGCTAACAGTACAAGAAGCTGTTGGCCATGTGGAAGTATTTATCACTGAATACATCCCTGGGTTCACTGACTGTAGCGAGTAGACCTCCACTGATTATCATGTGAGTGTAATGCCTAGCTCACATGTGGACACTCACATTAACCTTTCTTAATATGCAAGCTGAATCTCACCTTTTGACCTTGAGAAGTTACGTGTTTTTGGATGGCCGTCTATGAAGGCGTCTATGAAGGCAGTCTGTCTGATCAAGCTAAAGAGGGTCTGCCACAATTCATATAAGTGAGTTCTTCTTTATAACTGGCCTGCAGGTTAGCTAGCAGAGTGTGTTTTTCTGTTGTGTCTCTCTTCTGGTAGGTGATCTTTCTTTTTGGAGAAGCTGGAGTCAGAGTCACGTTATCCTAACACGTATGTGTTATAAGACATGGTTATTGCATATCTTCTCCTATTGATTTTTTTCCAGTGTGGCCAGGTGCAGTGTCCCCTGAAGCAGCGTGCGTGTGAGGAAGGAGTGAGGAACTGGCGAGATAAGGTACAGCTGTTGTCCAGCAAATCTCCTTACAGACCCAGGGGATGAAAAGAAATGGAAGAAGACTGGATATCCAGATTGAGGGCTTTGATCCAGTTAATTCCCTTTGAGGATAAACAGTCCCCGTTCCAGCCAGGAGTGAATTTGCAGCACCTCAGCTCCTCAGTGATACTTGCTCTCATGCCCACTGCTACTTCCATCCCCCTAAGGTTAACACCGCTGTGGACTAAGCTATGTTATATTTGATAGAGAACAAGAGCACCCACACAACAAGATACATAACACTTTTTAAGTTCAGATCCTGAATTACCTTATTTTAATGGGATTTTGTAGCTCTTTGTCTGCACACCAAAAATGTCCTATTTAATCATGCCAAGATACTTAGCATTATGCATTTCTCCTTGCTGTGGATACAGTTCTACCAGTAGAAATGTCTTGAACTACTACAGATCACTTCCATAGCTGGAAATAAAACAAATGACTGCCTTTATTTGAATAAAACCTGTGTTTTCTTCCACTCTGCCTCCACCAGATATTGCCCTTAAAACTAGGTAGGATCTATTGCTGACTATTAGTCCCATGTGCTGACCAAGAAGTTGTCTGTCATACTTCACACATACACTTAAATAATGAAGATTTGTTTAATAGATTGGCTCATTAGCATAAAAATAAATCTCCACAGTCTTAAAATGGCTTAATTGTTTTATCCTAAAGAAAATCATATTCTCTGGAGAGCAAAGTTCTTAGACAGACTTTCCTGCCTGTGTCAGTAGGAAACAACTATAACAGCTATCAGCTGAGATCATCTAAAGAAGTGCGGTCCAACTGCAGCTGGATTCGGGCCACTAGATGATTCTCTTGGCCCACTGCCCTTCTCCTGGGAAAGACAGGGAGCAGATGTTGGAGCAGCACATAATAACTGAGCAGCTGGGAGCCTTCCTCCATGCTTAGCTTCCCAAGGGAAAATTCCACATGAAATTCCTGGTTTTTGAGGAAGTACTGACATACATTCTGGAGGTCTTGAAGCAACTTAGGTGAAGGGGAGTTGTTTTTATATATTTCTATAGGATGATATATATTTCTACAGGATGCTCTACTTGGGAAAATCAATCACTTTGCTGAGGAGGTTTCTTTATCCTGCATCTTACCTTTTACGATGTAGTAAAAAAAGTCTTATTGTGTTACATCTGAGCAAGTGATAGGTGACTATGTCTGATTTATTTAATCTTGACTCTCTTTTCTGGTTTTGGAAATCTAGTCCTTAGGTTAAATGGGATCTTATCCTAAGCTAGATATATAAAGCAGGTTTGATAGATAACAAATTTCTCTCTCTCTGCTTTCTTTAAAGACAGCACAGTGTTTTTATCGCAGCTGTTCGATGTAGACATCAAATTCTTTTTATTTTTCCCTTATTTCATTCAGCTAGGTTGCTGAAAACCATGGGATGTATCTAAAGAAGCTGGCATAACTGGAAAAGAAAGAAGTCTAAAGGAAAGCTTTGAGAACTCCAGCTAATTCCCTGGCCTGCTCCATGCTGCTGGAATAAAATGCAGACCTGGATGTATCCATGCTGTGTCTGTGCATGCATTTCTCGGGAGAAGTGAAGTGGCTGTATCCAAGCATGGGGCTTTCCTGTGCCAGAGAACTGGGAACATGCACACTGTCTTGCCCAGCAGTTCTGCTCTGGAGCTGCATCAGTGTCCTTAACATGCAAGGGGCCATTGTACTGGTGCAGTGTTGGTTGCTCTTGTGACTGAATTAGAACTTTTTTTTTTCTTTCCTTTGTTTAAAATAAAAACAGGGTAATGGCAGGAGAAATTGAAGCAGCTTTACACGCTAAGAGAAATGGAATGTGAAAGATACTTGGAAGGGAGATGCAGAAAATGAAAGGAAAGGGGTAAAAGGCAAGTAAGGGAAGGGTGTCCACATGGAGAAGAGCTACAGAATTGGTATCCAAGGGGCAGTGAAATTTTAGGGCAATTGGAAGAATCTCATAATATTGACAGGGATGCAGACTCTCAGCATCTCCCATTCCTGACATAGATCTGTAGGGCCAAGGATGAGTATGCTTGTAGTAGCAGAGGGCTCGTGTAAACCTGGACTTGCTGAAGATTTTTAGATGTTTTTAGTCATCATTTCCCTACGTCTGGGAGAGTTTTTTGCCTTCTGCCTAAAGAAGTGGAGAGCGGATACTTTTGACAGCCTCCTTGCTAGCATACAAACACCAGGACCCTGCTGGAGATCCCTTCTCCTCTCAGCAGACACTTTCATCTTCTCCGCAGCTTCACTACTGCTGCGGCATCAGGTTCCCTTCTTGCACTGCTTGTCAAGGGGTGACCTTGTGTGGCCATAAGATGAGGTTGTTGCAGCGGCTGCTTTTTCCGTGCAATCACATCCCTTCCTGGATATGCGTGTCCCTGGTACAAGGACACACTGGAAAGGGATGCTCTCCACAAGCTCACGCTGCCCATATCCAAACGCCACCTGGAAAATGACCCTTCAGGGTGAAATCCTTACTCTGCTTCCCCTCCTGGCCAACTTGAGCTACTTTGTCGCTTTGCTGTTTTTGCCACCAACTCTTCTGCGGCTCCAGAGAGAAACTGCTCCCCTCTTCCCTCCTGCATCTCCTTCCAGCAGTGATACTCTCCTCCCTCCATCACTGCATTTCGCTGTGTCTGTCTGCAAAGCTGAAAAATCTATGGGGCAGCAGAGATGCTGTTTAGTGGACAGAGAGAAGAGAGAAGGAGGGTTTGGGGGGGGGCGGGGAGCGGACAAGGAAAGGAGACGAGAAAGAAGAAAAAAAAAAGAATTTATGTTAATTTTGAATAGAACCCTCCTCCTTCTCGTTCTCATTGGTGTCTTTCTCTCTCCTCCATATTAATGAGAGGAGCCAAGGAGGAGCGATTGGCTCCGTGTCGCCTTCGCTTCCCTGGGGCGCCGGGGGGAGGAGGTGTTTGCATTTCTCCGCAGGACCAGCTCGCCTTGCAGAGCTTTGTCCTGGTCGGGGGGGAGCGGCGGGGAGGGGTGTAGCACACAGACGGGCACAGAAGCACAGAGGCGAGCGCAGCATCACCCCCGACCCAGCCCGAACCTCTCCCCACACACATCCCCCTTCTCCTCCAGCCACCCCCGACACTGCCCAAACCGCCACAGTAAATAAATAAATTTATAAAGAAAGAAAAAGGAAAGAGAAGGGGGAAAAAAAAGTTTACAAATCTCCCTTCTTTTTAAATTTATTTATTTGTTTTCGATGTAGCGATGGCACATTCCTTCGCGGCCAGGACGAGGCCCATCACCACCTCTCCCTGCACGGGCAGCCTGGACCTGAGCAGCTGCGGGCGAGGGAGGAGGAATTCTGCCTTCCTCCGCCCGGTGTGAGCGAGGAGGAGGAGGAGGAGGGGGAGGAGGAAGAGGGGGGAGAGCGGGAGGAAGGAGCCGGGCTCTCCCTGCCTCGCCTGGTCACTTTCACCTCGGGAAAACCGGGTTTCTCCCGCGGTCGGAGGTGCGGAGCGGGACAACGCCGCATCCCCGGCGCCGCCGCAGGCTCCCCCGTGCTTTCTCTCCGCGGTAAGTGCCGGCTCTTCCGCGCCCCCCCGCGCTCCCCCGCGGCCGCCGCCGCCCGCGCGAGCATCCCTAGCCCGGCGGAGAGCGCTCGGGATGCGGCCGCGCCGGGCGCCGCTGCCTCCCCTGCCAAGAAATGCGTCTACCCCGTGACAGGTTAACGCGCTTGGTATGGGAAGCACGTCTGGTTTTTAACACAATATGGCTGGTAAATAAAACCTGATTGCTGACAGACCCGGGGCTGCTGCTGGCATTTTTTTTTCCTTTATTTTTATTTTTATTTTTATTTTTATTTTTTTATTTTTAAATTGGGCTCGAGGCTTGCGTTGCTGCTCTGCATCTTCACCTGCTGCAGAAACTCTGATTCACCCTCCAGCTGGCGCACCAAGGCAGGACTTGGCTATTTTTTTTTTTTTTTTAGTAGGCAGAATTGATGCGAATGTGCCTCTGACCTCTGCTCACACGCCTCTGTGTGCCCCTCATCACTATTTGGGCAGCTGGCTCTGATATCACTGTCCTTATGCAAAGCACATCGCAGTCACACGGCTAGGACGGACTCTTTGCCGCTATGCTGCGAATTTAACATAGGAAGGGGTCCAGGTATGTACTGGAATCTTAAGGGAAAGATGATGCAGCGTGGTGTTTGGGAGCGGGAAATGCATGGAGAAAAGCGGAGCGGGTGTTTTTGGTGACAGAGTGGTGTTTATGGCTAGGTGATCATCCCACTTGCACAGAAGTTCATCTGGAAGAACTCCCTGAAGTCGGTGACTTTCCTCTGCATTGAATCTGCAATTAAACAGAATCTGGCTCTTAGATTGAGGTATCACTGTAAATAATAATAATAATAATGATAATAATAATATATATGGGATAGGGTAGCAGAGTTCTTTCCTAGGGAATTATGGATTGCCATCTGTCTTGGTTGTGCATGTTAATTACAGTGCATATGTTGGACTGATACTGCAAAGTGTAATGTGGCTGAAGTAGTGTTCTTTTTTTATTTATTTTTGTTTTTAATCTGCTGGAGTCAACCAAAACAGAAATATATTTCTGTCTGATATTGTTTAGGCACACAGCGATCTCCCTTCTGTATTCTTCCTTTGCAACACTGGTGAGGTACAGTGGGGAAATAGCTAATATATTCTAATCAAAGGGAATGTATGATGGCTTAAGGTTGCTGTCAATGATAGCAGGAAGGCAGACTGCTTAAAACGATGAAGGTATAGCTACAGGATAAAAAAAGAGAAAGAAAAAAAATGCATTATGCAAGCATCCTTGCTTGCCTAATGCCAAACACACTGGAACTGTCTTGAAAGAAGTTGTCCTGAAGGATGAGTAAAACTACACTGTTCCAGCCTGATGCATAGCTAAGCAGTGTCCCTCGGCACAGTGATGGGAGCTGGATTAAAGCTGGTGACTCCATTTATATCTCTGTCGTAGTTTTGGAATTTATATACATATATATGTATATATATATATTTCCTGTTTCTGTGTGCTGATGGCAGTGGTTGCTGCTGTCTTCTATATATTCAGGGCAACAATGATTGATCTTGTTATTGCAGTGTCGATGTGTCTGGGACATTGTGGAGTGGAAGAGGCTCCCCTTGTTCTGTTTACTGGGATCACAGGCATGTGCACGATGCTTGGAAGGAAAACCATTGTCACAAACTGACCCGATGGTGCTGCGGGCTCCAGAAGGAAAGCCCAGCTGCCCCGTGCGCTGATCTTTAAAGAGGGACCCAGGGTTGCAGTCAGTCCTTGGCTGGAGACGTCGCCTTTTTGGTCGTGTCTCCACAAGGGGATGAATGGGCTCCCTCTCCGCTATATGTTTAAGATGTCTGCTGTATTCAGTGCTGTAGATCTCCCCTTGTCCATGTATATGAGACTCTCAAACACAGAGGTAGAAGCTATGCTGTAGCTTTGATTCTACTAGGGAGAAAAGGAAGAGAGAGCTGTGAGATGGTGGACTGTGCTGCTGATCACGTTCAAACCTTTGTTCATCACATCCCTCTTGATTTGGCAGACCAAACCAGCGTCCCAGAGATATTTCTTTTCCTAGGGTTGCGTTCCATATGTGCCTATGCCTTTGATCGGCTGGGACCTCTGTCCCCAAGCTGATTCATTTGAATATAGCAGATTTTGTTTTTCTTTCCTTCCTTCTGAGCACACTTAGTACAAACAGTCTAGCTCCTAAATTAGCTCAGATTATCTTTGGATGAAGCCAGTAGTATTTAAATTAAAAAAAAAAGAAAAAAAAAAAAAAAGAAAACTCAGGACAGCATCATGCTGCAACTTCTATCACGGTGAAAGACTTGCAGGAATAAATCAAACCTTATTCAGTTGCTCTTGATTTAACAGAAATCTTATTTATTTACCAGGAGGCTCAGGAGAGATAAACTGATATCAGGATATTGAGGACAGTGGAGATATTCCACACTTTGGAGCAAGTCCTTGCACCAGGGCAAGCCTAGAGCTGTGTGTGAACACATCAGCAAAGGCCTTCCCCCTTTTTTTTTGCCATCCCCGACTTTTATACGTCTTTAGTGGCAGCAGGTTGGCAGGGTAGCGTTGGCTTTGACAGCACCGTAGTTTGGAGCACTGCTTCATACAACATCCCTTGGTGAGACACTCTCTATGCTTGATTCTTAAGAAAGCCTTTGCATGAAAAAACAAGAAGTATTGTCAACACTCAGTAATAAAATATAGAATTCATATGTGTGTAGTGGCTATTGGAAATTCTGTGTGGGGACTAATTTCACATACATGGAAAGCAGAGAAGACTCTCTTGCAAAATGCCTTGTGTTTTTTCCCATCCTCCTCCCCTTTATTTTGCTTGTCTTTTATTCTCTGATCACCTTTTGCAAATTTGTCCTCTTCATTTAATGACCTGTTTTCTTTGCCTTGAACTTCTATTTCGAAAAAGGCAAACATGCGGTTGTTGAAAAATAGGCCAGATTCTCAGTGTCTTGTTTAGGTAATTCACTGCCATTTGTTGATTGTATCGCTGTGCAAACTGGCTGGCTTATCTGTAGAGTGATCTGCTTAATAATTTCAGTATAGCTCCTGAGGAGGTACCAAATAATTCCAACTTCCAGAGAAATAAAACAGGAGCATCACTGAACAGAGTGTTCAGAGGTAATACAGGTTTTGTGCTGGGGAATATTCCCTCAAACATAATTTTGCACAAATTTGTGGATGCAGCAACCAGGACTCCCTTACTGCTTTAATTCTGTGCTGCTCTGTCCAAGGTCTTCCACCAAAATTATCCCAGGGAACGAGTGGGTTTGCATTTGACATCCAGGTTTCTCTGCCCTAGAGTCATTGTGCCAGTTTCGTTCACACCCATTCGGGTGTCAGACTTTGCCCTTGGACTGACTGCGCTACTGCTTCTTGAACCATTTTAATGGCTCGTTTTTGGACTGTATCATAGGATTGTGATCTCAGACTGCCCTGATCTATTCATTTAACAGATTCCTTTTTATTTCCATTTTTTTTGCAAGTATGAAAAACTCTCCTAAAAATAGTTAAGATATTTTACATATTATAAAATCAGTAATTCCAGGTAACTTAAAATTCACCCTAAAGATGGAAGAAAAGGAGGCAAATATTTATATAGCCTAATTCTTTTTCTTCTTCTTCACAGTAATGATGACGATAACAATAATAACAATATCTGTTTACAACATGCTGGAAAAACTTGTCTAAAAGCTCATTCTTGACCATGTGCCATTGTGCTTTTCTGTCATAGTTGTTTGGACAATTATCTGTTTATTTTTGAGACATTTTTCAAAATATTTAAATCATGATGGTGTTTGCTTTCTATTCAGGATTTTTGTGTCATATTTGCACAGCGGCTGCGAATGGAAGAATGGTTGTGGGATCCCTTATCTGGGATTCGCTGGGCCCACTAAGTGGATCTGAGGGTTAGGACAGCAACAGGTCTTTTGATCCTCATGATACATTAATAGGATAGATTTTATTGCTCAGTTCCCCCAAATGAGGCAAATTTTGCTGTTTTTCTTTTGGTGGTGATTTTTGCTTTTTCTTGCAATGGACAGTGCACTTCCCTATCTATTTGGGATACAATTCTGATGAAAAATTTTCTTATGTAAAGGAGAAGTGGTAGAATCGTGCTTTTTTGTTTGTTTGTTTGTTGGTTTGTTTGTTTTTTTTTTGTTGTTGTAGGTAGCAGCAGCTGGTCAAGGCATAAATTGCTCCCTTCTCAAGGTGAAATCTGGACTCTGAGGAATGCCCTGGCAAAATCCTCATTCATTTCATATGGAAGAAGGCTTTGCTTAGGAGGCTTGCTTGGCAGACTAAGTTGACTTTCATATACTTAGGCATCACAAAACTAGATGGTCACTGCTGGGCAAATCCTCCTCGATTTCTTGTATTCTCCATGTAGAAGGTGGTTCATCTCATCCTGAAATTGCTTGACGGGGGTTCCCGCAGTAACTAGTGTACAGCTTCACATCTGAGTTTGGTGAGATTAATCCTACCACGTTATCTTGGAGACATGCCTGAGAAGTATAATTCCCTTGCTCCCATCTTTACTGAGGGGAAGACTAGTAATTTTGTGCCCGTGATGGCAAATCATGATAGATGCCTAATTTTCCAAGCTGTCAGAGCTCCCACAACTTTGTCACCAACTTCCCACAGCTTCATCACCACCTTCTTCCATTGACGCAACTAGCAGCAGGCTTGGCCTGTCCCTTGCAGGGAGCATTCATGCCACATGTCCCAGACAGCACCCTCTATATTTCTATATTATATTTATTGACAACACTTCCTGCCTTCAGAGCATATCTGATTCCTAAGAGGTATTTGCCAACTGAAATTGGTTTGTCATTGTGCGACCAGGAGAGGACATAACCATATGGGGACACTTCTAGAACAGCCACATGATTTTTTTTGCAGGAACATGCAAGCTCACCTTGCCTCTTTCCTAACTGAGCTAGAGCTGTGTGATGCTCCAACCCCGAGCTAATGCCCAGCTTGTGAATAGCCACACTGTACACTGCGAGAAGAGGCAAATGAATGCTGACCAGATCGCATTAGCTTGGGGCTGGCACTCTCTGAAATACATTTTAGCCAGCTTGGAACACTTGAGATGTCTAGAATTAGGTGACCTGAGTGCCAGCTTTTTGCCATAAATCAATAGCTTGGTGCCTCCTTATTATAATGCATGCTCTGTCCTAAGCTAACAAAACCCAACTGTCAGTTGATAAATGGCTTTAACTAATACCATTCTCCTTAACTGTGGCTTTTAAAAATATTTACTGAAATCCAAGTCATGAAAAGAAAATACAGACAAATCTTTCACAGTACAGTGATATATAGACTGGAAAGAACATTGCAGAAGAGAAAGATTTACCACCCTGTAAATGAAAGAAATTGTACTTATTTATAAAGGCAGTCTGAAATAAGTACTAAATTCCTAACTGTTAATTCATTTTTCTGGAATGCTTTGTTAGACTTTAATAAATCATAACATTTTTTTCTGCTCTTGCTGACACTTCTTTTGAAGTAGGTATATAAAAAGATATTTTTAAAAAAATGTATATATGAAATGAGACATTTACACTTGTAAGTAAATGATT